CTGAGAACGAGAACAACGTGAATGAACTTCGCCTTATGGGAGAAATATGTCGGGAGTCCATGAGTATTTTTGGTAATTTCACGTAACGTCTTTGTTTACTGTTTGTAATTCTTCATAATACGTTGTGTGAAGTCTAGAGAGTTAAAGTTGTCTTGTTTGTTGATCTGATTAAGAAGTAAAGTTCAAGAATCCCTTGTCTTGGTTTGAGATTAAAGAGTCGGATTTCCCACAGATCGTCAGAATATATAGTATAGCTGAACCAGCAGCGAGTCATTGAATGATTGAAACTGGTTATTGTTTTCAGCGTTGGATTTTCTCATAGCGATATACACGTAAATATTTTCACTACGAATCGGGAAAGTAGTATTAACGCGCTATCTAACCTAAAAGTGTCCGCATTTCGCGCCTGTAATTCTTATAATTTACCAACTTTGCTCGGTTCCGGTGTGACAGGAATGGTAGTCCTAGGAATGGAAGTCCGGGGTCCCATATGATAAGTATAGGTTAGGGTTAGTCGGAGTATTGGGGTTACATGTAGTGTGAACGGAAAATCTTTAAACCCAGTGGAATGTGTGTGTGTGTGTGTGTATGTGTGTGTGTGTGTGTGTATGAGTGTGTGTGTGTATGTGTGTGTGTGTGTGTGTGTGTGTGTGTGTGTGTGTGGGCTAGTGTATGTGTGCTTATGTGTGTGTGTGTGCGTATATGTGCGCGCGTATGTGTGTGTGCTTGTGTGCTTATATATATGTGTGTGTGCGTGTGTGTATATTCGTTTGTTCAAATTTGCATAAAAATAAAAAAATAAAAGTTGATCATAATCTTTTAGACGGACAAACACACATTTAGAGCTTTCTTTAGGAACAACAAGTATATAATATCTTAACCTTAATTTCTCAAGTAAAAGGCGGGGGCACCTCCAAGAAGTATTATAGTCATTAACAAGGGACAGAAACGCGCAAGCACCTGCCTCGGGTCAGAAAACTCTGATTTATTCTTATTTTAGCAATCATTAGTTCTCTCAGGTGGGCAGTGATCTAACGCCTGATAACATCCAGCAGTCAGCGGTTGACGGGGTCCTGGCCGAGAAGATAAACTTTGCCTCTCAAAGGTTAGCTTGGGTGGGCTTATCACCGAATATCACGGCAGGATGCTACTGTACAGGCTTATAACAAGAAACAAAACGTCTTTGGTCCCAAGACAAAAATAGTTCAAGCCAAGTAAAGCAATTTATTAATCGACATACATTTAAGGCAATTAGTTTTCACAGAAAGTTGTATATCAAACTGTAAGATCCAGCACGTTCTGCTGTTTCATGGTACGACTGGTTTTTGGCATCAGCCTTTCAAGACCCACTTTCTATTTATTTATTTGTTTATTTATTCATTTTAAACATATAAGACACAACTGCTGTATTTAGGCATTTATCGCATAGTTCCTTGAAACTGAAATTGAGCATTGTTACCGATACAATGTACCCCAGTTACTAAAAAAATACCGAAATAACGACCTTTTAACTATTTTGGTTTAATCAGATGTTACAAAAAATCGTATTAACAGAACCCTGGAAGATTAAATAACGACAAGATGAGGCGTCACCCGCTTCACACTATAACCCTGCCAAGTTTTGGATACAGTGCCTTCGAATATTTGACTAAAGTAAACCGGAGTTTGACGTACGATATAAATGAAAAACTTTAAAATTAAAATCCAATTCAGGGTAACTAAAACGCCAGAAGTATCTGATATTTTGTGAAAGTGCTTTGAGACTGTAATGGGCCTTGTCATAAACCATTTTATCACGATAATTATTAACACTCGTTAATAATTATGTACAGGTACACTAGTTTTCTTGCTCTGTTTTGTTTAGACGAGCTTTAGCTCCAAGGCATAGTAACTCTGAAATAAACCGTTTCCACAAGTATGGTGATATCCCGCCATTACATTTCACTTGTGTGTCAGAGAGAGAGAGAGAGAGAGAGAGAGAGAGAGAGAGATAAAAAAAAGTAAATAAATAATCTTTTTGGTAACTTTCCTTACCCTAATTCCTCATTTTCCTAAGAGAGGACGATTAAAAATAAATGAATAATCTTTTTGGTAACTTTCCTAATTCAAATTTCTAATTTTCCTAAGAGAGTATGACAAATAGTAAACCAATAAGTCTTTTTGGTAATTTCCTAACCCTAAATTCCTAATTTTCTCAAGAGAGAATGATAAATAATAATAATAATAAAATTAATCATTTTGGTAATTTTCCTAACCCGACTCTCTGACCTGAAGCGACCGTACCTCACCTCACTTTTTCTTGTCAACTTCACCACTTTTAATCAGTCCGCCAAAAAAGTCACAAACGCTCTTAATTCAAGATCGTGACAGATTAACTGCAGTTTGCCTTTAAGTGTCTTGACAAACGCGGCAGGATCTGGTGACAAATCTCCTATGTCCGTTACTGTACTATGTACACGGCATTTCCCTTATTGTTACAGGCACACAGCGAGCTTTAGACATATATCTTGTAAAACTTCTGGATATTTTACAAAAACCTCTTAGCCATTGAGGTATCCCATATCCAAATCTGATCACAGAATTACGACCCACAAATCTGTGTTTTTTAGTTACGAGTTTGTTGTTATTGAGTCATCTTCACGTGGGATGCAAAGGATGGTAGATTTCAATTGTGGTGGTAAACATTAAAGGTTTCTAGTCAGATTGTAGGAACGGCCTGAACGGAGCATATTATTCAGAAAACATGCCCAACTAACGATATCTTTAATCAAATACACAAATTCATTTTGTGAATTTTGGGCCTTGAAATACGTCCTTTTTGCTCGGCCTGGGAGTTAATGAGCTACGTGGTCACGTGGTCCGATGACGACAATCGTGCCACCTGAGTCTCTTCCCCAAGCAGCGTGTTTAGCTGTCAAGCTGACCTGTTATTGTCTACCTGTAAGATGATTTTTCTGACTCCTGATAAAAGTTCATACTCATTCAAATCTCTTACCCGAGGGGTCTAAATGCTCGTAAAGCCGTGTGAAGCCATTTTCCCGTCTATTCAATTATTTAACTAGCATTTAATTATGGTTATACCCACTAGTATAAAATACTGCATACGAATGACTTGCGGGCACTTTTGATCATTCGATATGAGGTCCATGTTATTTGTGAAATTCAATTCAATTCAATTGCGCCTTATGGCTCATCAGAATGAAATGCAATAAAAATATAAAGTCATAAAAACAACAACAATACAACTACTACTAGTAATGATAAAAACTCATCAGACTGACGTTAATCTTAGCTCCGATGCACATTTTAAGTACTTTCATAACTTGTTTAATTGTGAAACATTGTTAAGTGATAACAGTTTAATTAGCTTGAAAACACTTTGCTTTGTGTAATACATTTTTTGATGTACTTCTGCCTGATGTTCTGTAGCAAAGACATTTTTAAATTCTTAAAGGAATAAAATGAAATTCATCCTCGATGACATCTAAAATACATAGTTTACAGGTTCTTAATTCTTATTTGTGTCCGTTTACCTTTCAGTTTCTACAGCTAGATTACCTGTATGTGATGGAGGTCTAAATTTGGCAATTAATTCCTTGCATTTCTGTGAAATCGGCTTATTTATATAGAATTGCACTGTAAAATTATCAACAAGACGTTGGTACAATAGCCCTTTAACTCCTTGTGGACATTTCTCCAGTCAATGTTTGTCTAAAATGATCTTTCAATCTTTATTGTATCGAGGACCTTGGACAAAATAACGAGTAATGTCTGGACATGCTTCAAGATACCCTGAGAGCCATCACTTTCATTAATGTTCTCGACCGTGTTTGAACTCACTTGTTTAAATATCGATATTAAACGTCATTTAGAAATACCAATCACATTACACCATGAAATAAAAGAGATATATTGAAAAAACATTAAAGCCCACCAAGAATCTGCCAGGTTGATCTACCTGTTATTACCTGGCTTGGGAAGTGCGGCGGTGGGTAATTAACAGGTTTTATTGTTAACGAGCTCTTGGTCAACTACCATGCATTTAAAATGCATCAGCACTTAGTAAGCTTGTCAACTGATGACAGTTAAATTGAAAGACTATCACCTTTTGATATGATCTAAACCACTTGAGGCGACCATAATCTCGAGCATCACATCTATTGTCACCGAAGTTAGTAAATAAGTCAAGGAAGACCGTCACATATAAAGAAAGAAGATTGTCAACGAGTGCTGCTTTTTTTATGAATCCCACGGCAACACACTGAGGCATAACGAAAATTGTCCAACCCCGTTCAACACAACTTTCCTAAACTTCTCTGTCTGTATTCAGCATGCAGCTCAGCGGAGTCTCAAAACCTTTATCGCCTTTGTCGTCAAAGTACCACGTGACCCAGATCTGTTGCTTCATTTTTGCATATTGAGGTGAGGTTTATTAAAACGCTTTTTTCCACCAATAGATTGTTTTTACACTTTTTAGAAGGTGGGGATCGATTAAAACATATATCTAGTGTATGAATTGAGTGCTGATTCGTCAAAATTTGATAAATGGAGTTTTACGTGTCTAGAATCCTTTAAATATTTCGAAATTTAGAACAGGTTCACAGATTTTCATTTTTGCATCGGCTTTCCATTGGAGATATTTTGGCACTGAAGGGGGATTGGAGGGGGCATTGAAGGGGAAAGGGAAAATTTTCAAATGTCCAAAAACATTCATCTTTACTATATGTAAACGCGAACCTTATGCCTGTAAAAAGCCCAATAATAAAGACTCCTTCAATATTTTCTGTTAACTCATTCAGTCTCTCCTCGGGTTTTGTATTCCTTATGTACATGTACCAGGGCGACGGATTGATTTTTTCACAAGATATTCACAGATATGTCTTTAGATAAATAGACAGTCATTCGATTCTCTGGCTTTTTAAAAATTTTCCTATAACATCTGCCACCCTGGTAGAGGGAAAGTTTTGTGCAGGAAACAAAACGGCAGTCAAGAACCTTACCTGACAGTGCACACACGTTGCCTAGCATTAGGAGGTCTTCAGTACCGTTATACGGCATAACGTCAATGATACCTTTTCGAATTGTGTCCGATACTTTTGACCCTGCGGAGACAAATATGTAAACACATAAATAAGTCAACATATAACAACAGCTAATAGATAAACATATATGCCCAGAAGTAAATACTTAAATAAAAAAATGTGTATAATTTTTAACTAAAAATTTACAGCGTCAAAAGAATAAAACGTTTTACATTTGATATTTTTACATATCTACGTGAAATACTGCATTGCAAAAATATTTTACACGTTTAAGACTGCTTTAAGAAACACATTAAGTTCAATCTCGAAAGATATGGATATCGTGGTCGTTTAAGATAGCCTATACAGCAGAAGATCGTCGATTTCTACCATTATAACATTGAATTTTGACACAAAATTTGCGTTCGCTTTTAAAAGACTATTTCCAATTCAGCTGAGTAATGTTTGTGTTTGTGCTATCATATATCACGTGTCTGTGTTACGGTTTGTATTCTGTCGAGCATAAATAATGATAAATAATTTGTGCAAGTTACAAATCAGCACTTGTAAATCACTTCCTTCTTTTTACAACGACCTTTTTATTTTTTGTTATTCACCTTCGTGATGCATTCCTTTGTGTCTTCAAAAGTTGTCTGATAGAAGAATAGACTCCCATAGTCAAGAACAAGACAGATACACACAAGGTCATTAACTATGGCACGTTTTTTTTTATCATGCAAACATTAAATTGCATATTCTACATGGACATGCACTCACGCGCCTTCACGCCCACATACACATGCACGCAGATAGTAACGCGTGCGTGCGTGCATCAGCACACACACACCGATATATACGCCAATCTCCATGCACTCGCACTCATTCACACACGCACACACACACACACACACACACACACACATACACAGTCGTATATATACATGTATATACACGAATAAGCACACACACGGCAAACGCGAAATCAGCCAAACGCATGTTAAGTGCCCTTACAGTCCATGGCGATCGTTGAAAGCAGCGAAATGCAATACGCGTAAAATGACAAGCACTTTTTCATTCTAGTTGTTTATTGTCCGATGCTTATCTTGGGAACTCGACAAGGAAGTGCTATTACGATGAAAAATATGATGCAACTATCTCACGTCATGTGCTACTTACAGGAAATCTCCAAAAACAAACCATTTATTCAGCCTTTAAATTGACGCATGTAGGCGTATTAACATATCAAAAAACCTTTTATATATAACTTATTGAAAATATTGTTTGAAATCAGAACAAAAAGCATAACTATGTAGACAGGAACTATAGACACGATTAAACCGCATAATGGAACGTGTCTCTCTAAGTCAAAGATGATTTCATATAGGAACCCGAAATATAGCCTCGTGATTAATTATTAAGAAGGACAAGGGTGTTTATTTCTTATCTTGCGTTCCATCTAGCAGACAAGCTGACATTAATATTCAGTTTGTGTGACACGGCTGTGGAGATGGCTACGACTTCAGCCTGCGCCACTGAGAGCTTGATATGGAGATCATTAGTGATCTTCAGACGATCACAAGTGCAGCCAAATGTCAAGTAGCGGGCGGCCTAGGATCAAGTGTCTAAGAGCGCAACCAGAACAGCGGACTAAGGGTGTATTCCCAGAGATTTAGATCGATCCAGGGATTAAGATTTAGATCGACCTAACTCCCTGGGGGTTCAAGCTAAATTGCAGTCAGCCGAGCGCGCACCATAGTTAATTACCCCCTTGCAGCTTTCAGTAGGCGGGACAGACGCTTAAGCCGGCTAAGCTGACAGTAATCTAGTGAGACTCCCCACAGGGATAGATCGATCTAAAATCCATGAAAATGGGGTCTAACAGATCCGCGGATCAAATATGGCCGGCCCACGTGAATGCGTAATCCCCGCGGAGAATCTATTCAGTGTCTAATTGGGAATTGAGCGGTAAGCTTTTTAAGAAGATCGCCATATTTGACCGGCCGATCTGATAGTCCGATGTTTTGAATGTGCTCTATTTTTTTCCAAGACAAAAAAAAATCAGCGGGTTAGCTGCTGATTCAAGATGCACTATCAACGATAAAACGATGTTCCAATGGCATGCGCTTTACTGGACTTTTTTTTTATTATACTGTTAAATTAGACCAATTAGTTACTCCGGCACCTACTTAAAATGGATTCCGGCCAAGGGGTTGGTCCTAACTTCAAGAAAAAAATATAAAGTCCACTTCCAGAATGTACTCATACAACTGAATGTCAATCACTTCTATATCTTTGCAAAACGGGCCTTAAGTCTGCATTTAGCTTTACGTAAGACTGAAGAAGTCTTATGATAATTTTCCACCCAAATGAGGCCAACTTACCTAACAGTACCGCTCCCAGCACCTCAAATACGGTCCCTAGAATGCAGGCCTGTCTTAGAGTTAACACACGGGATCCGACAGAAGTTCCGAAAGAATTGGCAACATCGTTGGCACCAATGCCAAACGCCAAAACGAACGCCACGATGAACCCAACTATAACCATCCATAGCAACTCTTCCGGAAATAACAGCTCCATGGTTTACGTTGTTCTTCGTTGCAGGGAAGTTAGAGGTTTTTATTTTCTTGATCCTGCTTTTCTTGCTTCAGCACTTGTTCAAGCGATTTGAAACTAAAAAAAAAAGAACAATTTCATCACCCAGGAATACATACAAGTGCTGCAAGGCATTGCCCCAAGCATGTTCTCTGAAACTACAAATGATACGCCAAAGAATAGGAATCCCCGGATGGTTTTTGGTTTGTTTATAGCTACTTTAACATAAATCTTTTTAAGGACTGATTGGATTACAGTAACGCCATTTAAATAAAAACCATTTGAATAAAAGCCATTTAAATGAAAACTTCCTCACAGAAATGGCCAGTTCCGAAAGAAACTGTGCGATATCTAGCCTCATTTAAAAATGATCTCCTTTAAATAGCTTTGCAAGCCTACGCGAATGCTTTCTGAGGGGGGTTTTACATATAGTATATAAATGAACAGTTAGCTTGCTTTTGTCACTGAGGACAAACTGGTGACAGTGAGACAGGATTTTGTGAAGTCTGGAAAACAAATGACAGGAGAAGCCACAGAGCATGATGCAGAGACAGTAATGTAACCTGATACAGGGGGGGATGCCATGCCTAATCAATTAATACCATAAGAAGAAGATTTCCCGAGAAAACCCAGGCAAGTTAGTCGACTACAGAGAAAGAAGTCAGGCGAAGGGCGTCTGTCTTAAGGACCTATCTTGTGTTAAATGCAGCTCGTTGCCGCGTCTGTGACACGTGTTTAGGTAGAGACTTGAGACATATACATGTACAGAGTACCATAGACGGAGGGTATGTGCATGGATTGCTTGGCACGGGCTTACACGTACCATATCTACCAGTGACAGTTGATTAACGGGGCTCTCAAACACTGTCCAACTCCCTCCATATCAACCCAGAAAAACCAAAACCGGTCATGGTCTGACTGACGTGTAGTTTAAAGTGTTGAATTATTTGGCCAGCGTAGGGTTTATGTTTAATTAAATGATGGTAATGATAATAAATCACAATCTAAACAAGTCTCAAATCCACATATTTAAATAATTAACATCATATAACTTTAAATTGTGCTTCATATTAGCAATTATCTCCAAAGATTATTTAATAATTAATCATTTTGTTACTTAATACTAAAACAAAAAAATGATCCATTGGTGACGTCAGTGTAACTACAGCCAGTTCAGGTCTGTCTTCCAGTCTGTTACATATAGGCAGAATTTTTAATACGAATATCATGATGATAAATAACAATACTAACAAAATTATAAATGATACTCAAAAAATAACAAAATGTGAAGAAAATCTGTTTTATTCAACCATGCCCCTCCTCTGAGCACGCAGGAAATGTCATCATCTTCATATTTGCTGACAATATTTGCCTAGCACACGTCAGCTTCACTTATATAATGGCATTTTCTGCTTGCCTGAATTGTCAAACAACATGGACATCTCTTACACGCCTGTAGAGCATTGCGCAAGGAACTTACTCTACATCTCTTGCCTCTGTTGACGCCAGTTACTGTATAGCAATACTTAAAGTTAAACTATGGAATGTAGAAAATGATTTCTTTCTGTCTCTGTAATAGTTACACCAAGAAGTTATATCTCACCGCTTAGATTGACAATTTTATGAGTATAACTTCACTGGTATATCTGTTCATTATATAAAGATGTATATTTGTTCAGTTACAAACTGGCAACACAATTACCAATTGTTATTATGTTATATTGTACCATGATATGATAAAGTATGTAGTATAGAAATAAAATAGAATTGAATAAATATTCTATGATTTTTAGTTTTTTAGTTTTTAAATTGTTGATATGTCCGAGCACGGTGAGCGGCGATGAGGGATGCACGTGAGGGGTTCGACCCCCCCTCCCCACCGCCCCCGTCAGTGGTGAGAACAGGTCTTATTGTGCCGTGAGAGGTCAGATAGGGAACCGTTTGTCATGTGAGGAATTTGGCTCTTGACATATGTACAAGATGTCCTCCAAACACGCTACTGTACAACAGTGGAGGATTTTTTTTTATTTGGGGGGGGGGGTATCAGGGGGAGTTCTGACCCCCCCTTTCGATGGCTGAAAAAAATCACACCAATGATCCCTTTTGAAATTAGAAGATTGACTAGCTGAATCATAGTTCTTAACCTTACCAAATTTCATCGTTCGCCCTCTAAAATACCAAATGTTTTCACCCTACGCTAAGGGGGGGGGGGGGGGGGGGAAGGGGGGGAGGGGCTATGCTCCGCGGACATCCCATGCAAATAATCCTTGATCCGCCCCTGTACATGTATATGTATAGAAATCTCCGCGCTTAAAAACATTGGTTGTCTGGGTTCAGAGATGTGAACAATGCATACCGTATATTGAATTTTTTTACAGAAATGGTTTGCCTATAGTAAAGTTTTTAATTTCACTCTTTTTCCCCTTTTATAGGCTTTTTTCATGCATACCCGTAGATATAGTGCGAACGCGCTGGAATCTGTATAATTGTGCGCGTCATCAAAAAGCTGGAGGCAAAAGTTGGCCTTAGCGTTAATAAAATTTAAGATTAAAAGTGAAAAGGCATAAAATCATACTTTTGTGCTATTGTGAAAGGGAACCCAGAGAAAGATGATACGTCCCGTCTGGGAATTTCAAGCAGACGACAATCCCGGACTGAAGATATTAATGACTTTGATGCACATCTTCTACTGTGGTTTTTGTGGCAATAAAACAAAATAAGTGATGTCTCACTTCTACGAGAGCGATACATAAAGAAAACGGCACTTTCTAGTTACCAGGTATACATGATCTAAGCCATATGGACGTAGGTGGGGGGAGGTTAAATCCCTCCCCACCCCCCACCCCCCCCACCCCCGAGGAAAAAGAAAATACGGAAAAAATCAGCAAATTAAAGACAGCCTTTGTCATCTGTCTTAAATTTAACAATGCCTAATAATGCTTTTTAAACAAAAATCCCAGCACACTTTCTAAAAACGCAGGACCTTCTAATTTCTTATCGCACCTGTAGGAAGGACAAATGTGAACAAACATGATTGACAGAAATTTTGTTTAGAGGTGAACAAATGTGATTGAAAGAAATTTCGTTTACTTGCTCAACCAACCATAGCATTTGGATCTGGCTGTCTTCAGACTCTGTTCACAAAAGGCACTAAAGGTCCTAGACGGTCAAAAATGTCTTCGGTATTTTCACTCGCCCACGGCGTGTCAACTGAGCAAGTTAATGTATCAAACGTTGACGTCGTGGCTCAGGTTACAAGTGGACAGTGGTCTCGGTTTACGTAACGGAAGCACTTGTTGGTGTGTTTATATCTGTTTTCTAGTCACGGGAGAATTATAACCCCCATGATAAAAACTTCTCACTTCTTGTTAAGGATCTTGCACACAATTTGGCGCGAAAATTCGACTTGCAATAAACTCTTAGTTTTTTATCAAAGACAAAATAGTATTTTGGGTCTTCAGTATTTTTGCAAATGGCTGACCGCATCGAATGCAAAACTTACAATTACATTTTTTAAAAATATTTTTGGACTATATTTTTCATCGACTGTTTTAAGCCCTGTGAAAGAGTTAGATGTAAAAATGCAGGAGTACTCTTGGAAGTCGAGGATTAATAGCAAGCTTTTCATAAAGAAATGAAAAAAATTAAGGCAATGATAACTAAAGTTTGCATCATAAAAATATGCACATTATAAGTGGATCTTTTCAAAAATCAATAGGTACATGCGTTTTAAAAAACATCGCCCGCCATTGTTACACTGTACTATGTTGAACAATGTTTTAATGTGATAAAAGAAAAAGTATCTTAAGAGACATTCTAAACAGGGCCATTTTGTCATCACTGTGCAATAGACAATGACAAATATATTTCACTGATGGTTGAAAACTCACCTGCAGAAATGAACGGCTCCCCTTCTGTGCGGTGGTCGCCACTTGGCTATGTGACCAAACAATGTTTGTTTACGACAAAAAAAAATGGCCACTCCTTCACAGAAAGTGCAAAGTGCCAAGTAAGAGGACTCGTACCCGAGATTAGTATCACTTTATGATCACACAGATGGCGCTTGACTGCTTACCTTGAGATTCAATCAGGTCCTGTTATTTACGACGTTGAACACTCAGAGAAAATTGGAGACCCCCCCCCCCAAAAAAAAAAAAAAAAAAAAAAAAAAAACAATGTGCAGTCAGAAGAATGGCCACTCCACTTACTTGTGATAGCTCGTCAAGGCCCGAAATTTCAACTAAGTTAGTTCTCTCTTCCGTACTGTCCGAACTTCTCACACCAATGGTCAGTTTACCAGAGTGGGCAGCGGCTCAGAAATAAGGTGGTCAGAGCGTCTGCTGCTATATAAACTTCTTGTGTAGAAGAAAAATTTATAATGCGTCAGCTACCTTTTTTTAACGCTGTTTAACCGAATACACAGGGCAGCGCGTCAGTTGCTATTTTTCCCCCTAGGGCTCCTCGTGGCTTGTCGCGAGCAAGTGTCACTGTGGGTTGTTTTGCGGGGATTTTAACGTTATATCCCTCGGCACGGGATGGCACACACGACCTTGTGGGACTTCTAAGACACGATACATCAACACGGATCCCATTGTCTTAAGGATGTCATACAAATTAACCCAGCCTCGGCTTTGATTTGGAGAATATACTGGTAGAATTAATGCTGTTTAGCTATTGCAGTTTTAAATACAACCAAGGTCTTAGAAATCAGGGATCGTGTCTGTGAGTGTCATTCAATCAGGAGTGTCAAAGAACAGGCACGCGACATTACATCTTTCGGTCAGTTGACATTAATCACTGCCCAGGTGACGTCACGATTACGTCACAGGCCTGCTTGGCTGTTGTGTTGTACAAAGAAATGTCGCCGTGGAGAGGATGCACTGAACGCAGGGCTCTTCATGGGTGTATTACGTCCACTGAACCAATACTAAGTCAATGATACGCGTTCGTGATTCCAAACACAGCTTGGCAACATAGCTAAAAGGGATGGGGCGAAATAGACAGGAATCAAAAGAAACCTCGTCAATAGGTATTGTGTATGGATGATAAACAGAGCCAAGGACACGTTTACGTGTAGAAAAGTATGTCCACCGTCCATCAGGCGTCCAAGTACAGTACGTTACGCAACAGGTGGTCGTCAACATGCCAGCAGCCTCCGGGGGCTCTTCTGTCCCGGCGGAAAGATGCAGCATTTGGTCTCTGGACACTTGTACAATAGATAATATTGGTGTTGTGTAGCCTTTTATTAGATTATAGTTCTTTCACGAAAACAAAAAACCCTGCAAAAATTATGGCACCAGCCGCATACACGCACACACACACATGCATACATGAATGCACACGCGCGCTCACACACATACGCGTTGTAATGCACGCGTGTACATGTATGTGCAAGCTCGTACACACATACACTCACATGCAGGCACACACAAACACATAGACGGACACGCATAAACACACACGCACAAACACACACGAGCACGAATCAACTAGACTCGACCAACTTGGGAGTTATATAGTGACAAGATTACAGAGTCTAGGATACGTGCGTGCATGTGTGCTTGTTTATGTGGTAATGAATATAAAAGTACAATCGCAAAAAAATATCGTAAAATTCATGCAGAATATCTTTCTTGACATAAACGGAATTAATATGAACATTGCCCATCACAAATTAACTCCTAACTCGAAAATATTTTTTCTCTGTCCCAAAGCGTCTGGGTTTTGCGGCGCCCGCGGTGTTTAATATGTAGGCCTTTCCAGCAAAGACTTTCGCTCGTCCGGGACAGTAAAACAAAAAGTTTTCCAATTTTTTCTTGAATAACATAATTTAAAAATACAACGATCTGGCTCGTTTTGCTGTAATTATAAGGTAAATTTTCAGGCTTAATTGTACCTAAATTAGTTCTTATCACCACCAGTACATGTAGATGACAGTAAACAGAGCATTCCTAATTACCGTGTGTGACTTCACATAAAATAAACATGCCGTGATATAAACAATTCCATATTAAAAACAACAACTAATAGCACCCATTTTGTTACTGTCAGTGCAACTGGCGCCAGAATATGAGGAATGGGGGGGGGGGGGGGGTCGCAACTGACTTATACTATCATGCTCCATCTTAGGCAAAGATAAATGATACCCCTGTCTTTTTAAAACACAAATATTTTAACTGTAACATTTAAGGCGATGCCAATTCCATGTTGTTTAGCATTGTTTCCATAAAAATACACTATCCTATACTTGATCATGAGAAGTTCAATGGCATTTGAAAAAAAAAACTGCGCTTGTTTTACATTGTACATTGTAATTGAGAATTTAGATGGCCTTTGGGATTTGTTAGTTGATAAAATGTATCACTTTCTGAAAAATGAAACCTGACATCCAAATGGCGTTAATTTCATTACTGCACTGGTATATTTGCTATTATGATCATTATCAATCAACTCTAACGTATATCAAAGTTGACCTGATGCTTGCAGTTTTATTAAAATTTACAATTTTATGACGTGTTATTTCATGTACTGTTATTCTCTGTGGTAACTCAAAATGATTAAAATTCTGACTAATTTGCATTTGCATATTTAGTAAATAAGAATGTTATTTTCTCTTCATTATCTCATTGTGTTGGTGAGAACAGTCGCATCTCAACTAACACATTCCTTAATGACCAGAGGACAAGGTGTTGCATCAGAAATTTTATGAAAAATACAAAAGATACAAGGCCATTCGTTGCATAACAGCAGAGTGGCGCAGTGGAAGCGTGCGGGGCCCATAACCCCGAGGTCCTAGGATCGAAACCTAGCTCTGCTAGTAAGTTTTTCCCTTTCATATTGGCCCGTTTCAACTATTCGAAATAATTTGAACTCATGCTTTGTTTTGACCGGTGTGCAGTTTGATCGAAATGCAGTGGCCGATTTAGTGAAGGTGGTGTCAGTGGACCCTGACCCCCCCCCCTTTTGATATCTAAAAAAATCACGACAATGGTCCCCTCTTGAAATTAGAATTTTGACTAGCTGAATCACAGTTATAAACCGTATTACCTTGTAAATAGCCCTTCATCGTGCCCCGAACCACACACCAAGAGGGAGTAGGCGCGAAGGCTTTGCATCCGCGGACCGTGGCAGGGCAAGTTGGTCTTAGGATAGGAGCAAGTTGGCACCCTACTGGTGTACTTAAATACAGTGAATATCTATATAGTAATAGCAGATCAGCCGAAGTCCCCTTTTCACGTTTTCCTCCCAAACTACAACGATCTGTTAACAACTGACAAGTGTTAGCAATACCCCAGGGCAGTGGGAAGATGGTGGCCATAGTTTGAATTTGATTATAACTGTTAAAAGTATATTTTGAAGGCATTTTCTAGCTTTTGGCAATTTCCGTAAAGTTTTGGCATGTGTGACAGGTGTCATATATTGTAAATAACACTACGTCAGATAGCAAGATTTGCTGCAGGCCCGTAGCCGGGGTTGGGGTGGGGGTGGGGGCTTCATGGGGTTCGACGTAGCCGCAATTTTCTCTGGGAAATTGTCCCCTTTGAAACAAAATTTGATCTAGAATATATGTCCTTTTTTCATTTCGGTCAACTTCGGCTGGCCAAGTGGTAATGTCCGTGGCTTCTAAACACGGCGGAGTGGATTCTATTCCTACTCAGTCCGTTTTTTTCTTTGATTTATCATCAAATTAAACAGAATAATTTATAGGAACTAACGTGCTTTGTATTGATTAAATACACGAAGTAATGTAGAAAGCTTTTACACTAACACGGAAAACAATTTTAATTTTCTATTACAGCTAAATAGCATAGCTAAAACATTAACCCCAGCTACCTGTAAGTGAAGAACTAATGGCAGCTTAGATTAAATCAGCTGGTTTTCTCTCTTTATGCCCTCCGACTTAGAGCTGGCACATGTGGAAACTATCGAATGACTTTCAATTTAATGAATAATTGCACTGAATTTCAGTGTAACAATTTCCATTAAAGAATTAACTTATCTATAGGCTCCGACATGACTTCAAATCCGACTCAGTCTTTCACGTGCACAGAGAAGCACAACAGAACATCCTAACATCAGTTCCAACTCTAAAGTGTGTTTATTCCACACAAGCATTCAAATTTTATACACATTATCTACAGGGAATCTATGCGTACAAGTGGCGGCTACTTATTTACATACTAATTGTTGTGCAATATTAACGGTGATATGTCTATCAGTCCGGTGGCTTAGGAAAAATTCGTGACACGGCGGATAAAAGCACCAAATTTGGCATGTAGTTACCTTTTGACATTCTAAATAAAATTACAGCCGTAGCCCTCTCAAAAAATTTACTGTTTGGTCCAAAAATACAAAATGGCCACCAATGTATGGAATCCTATAGAAATACAGGGTTACCACTTAATATGGAATATTTTTTATCATTGTTATTTTTGAGTGCTGATTAAATTTTTTTTTGGCTTGAGTCATTAAAAAAGTATGTCACTGAGTGATAATAACATCCAGTCTTCTGTTGTGAGATATTTTGGTCAATAATATTAAATCTGACATAAGATGCCATTCAAAAGAAAGGAACACCCCCAGAAAACCATATCAACAGTTTGATATCAGTATAAACTTTAAGATAAGATATTAAAGAAAATGATAGCCTCCGGACAGTGATATGTTACACAGTCAAAGAACTCACTACAGTAAATCATGAAAAGTCAGTAATTGCGGGTATGACCTCCAGCAGCCGCTTGCAGCGCCCTCATCCTACATGGCATATCCTGTGACACGTTTTTTAGAGTTTGGGTGGGGATATCATTCCACGCAGTGATATTTGCCTGTCGCAGTTCATCACTATTTACCGGCCGAGGACCATGGCTATTAATTCTGTGAGTTAC